CTCTCCCTCTCTCCCTCTCTCCCTCTCCCTCTCTCTCTCACATCCATTGGTGTCTTGCCTGCATGTTTGTGTGAATGTGTTAGAAGCCCTGGAACTGGAGTTATAGACAACTACGAGCTGCCATCTGGGTGCTGGGAATTGAACCCGGGTCCTCTGGAAGAGCAGCCCGTAACTGCTGACCCGTCTTTCCAGCGCCTCTTTTGCTTCTGTACACCAGGCACACATGGTATATAGACACATGCAGGCAAAACATTCATACACGTAAATAAATACGAAAAAAAAAATGTGAAAAGATTCCAGGAGGAGCCGGTGTATAACCAGTGGTAGAGCACTCGCCTAACACGTCCCTTCACCAGGACTGTAATGACAGTGACGGAAGCGTGCTGCATGCTTGGTGATCTGAAGGGGGCTCCTAGGGTCAGGTTTGTTATAGCAAGGTGAAACTGGCTGATACAGTTGTTGGTTGTTTTTGCTCTTTTGGGGGGCCCAAGAACCAGCTCCCAAATAAATCACACATGGAGGCTTATTCTTATTTATAAAAGCCTGGCCTTAGCTTGCCTTGTTTCTTGCCAACTTTTCCTAACTTATCCCATCTACCTTTTGCCTCTGGGCTTTTCCCGTTCTCTTCTGTAAATCTTACTCTTACTCTGTGGCTTGCTGTATAGCTGGGTGGCTGGCCCCTGGGGTCCTCCTTCTCTGGCTACTTCTTTTCTCCTCCCAGATTTCTCCTTCTATGTATCCTCTCTGCCTGCCAGCTCTGCCTATCCTTTCTCCTACCTTGCTATTGGCCATTCAGCTCTTTATTAGACCATTGGGTGTTTTACAGGCACAGTAACACAGCTTCACAGAGTTAAACAAATGCAGCATAAACAAAAGTATTACACCTTACAATAATATTCTACAACACTAGCATTTCGATCTTGAGTGTTCGGAAATTCCTTGGGACACTGGTTTAGCGTCTCAAAGCCCTGCTTCAGCTTAGAGACTCTGTATTCACCTCATCTGTGGACTAGCACTTATGATATGTTTGCTGGATATTCATTTCATAAAATATTACTTGAGCACCTTCTATATACCAGCCCCATCCCAAGAATTTCACAGTAGAAAAGGATGCCTCAGAAGCCCTTGGTGCTATGCCAACCCCACTTGAGCAGTGTGAAGCCCAGCCAGCCTTGGGACTTCAGAGTTCTCAGGCTGTGGGAGGAGAGATCACCAGAGAAAGTGCTGTCTGCACTGAGCTTAGTGAGTGGCCTTCTGGGAGCCAGACAAGGAGAGACAGCTGCTATACTTACTGGTCTGGATCACTGGTGTGACTTGGGTGTACACACGGTATGGCTGGGATGACCCGTGTGCTCCTGTTTGAGGACTGGTATAAAGAGGTGGTAGCTCCTTGGAAGGCGGTGACTCCTTAGAAGACCGAGAGTCTGAAAGAGAGAAGCAGCAAGGCCCCAGGGCTCAGATGTGCCAACCGGGAGCCACCACATGGCCAAGAGCAAAGTTGCGCACAGTTACACAGACAGAAGGTGGAGGGGCCAGGTTTTGAACTCAGACACTTCTGAATCCACATATGTCCTCCTTGTCCATAGGAAAGGTGCTAGAGGTCTGGGGTGTGATATAGCTCAGGGCCATTTACTATTGGCCACACTGTGTGCCAAACAGGTAACACATTTCACCTTTTCACCAATGAAGCATCGTTCGGATTGTGCAGGCGGGGAGATGAGGTTCAGAAGGGTTGAACACCTTGCCTGAGGTCCCTCAGTAAGTAAGCATGGGGGACCAGGTAGGTTTTAGATGCGAGAGACCTAACCTCTGAAGTCAGGATATTTGAGCTCCATCTGAGGCTCTGATGCTTTTTGTGGCAGGGAGAAGTTGAGACAAGGTCTGTGTCTCCCAGGCTCACAGGGAACATCTGACCCTTCTATCTCTACCTATTATAGGCCTGCACCTCCACGTCCAGTTTTTGTAGTACTAAAGATCAAACCCAGGGTTTCTTGCATGCTGAGCAAGCACTCGACCAACTGAGTTGCATCTCCAGCTTTGCTTTTTGAGTTCAGATCTCATTCAGGCTGGCCTGGAACTTGCAGCAATCTGCCTGCCTCAGTGCCCCGAGTGCTGGGATTACTGGTATAAGCCATCACACCCAGAATGAGCCACCATGATCTTAATATGGATGGGCAGTAAGGTTCCCACCAAATTTTCATGTACAACCTTGTAAGTGCCTGCTGGGAACCTGGGCTTGATCACCAGCGGCCTGGCCCCTTCCAGGGAAGGAGCTAGTCTCGAGAGGTGGATCTCTGGGGCCTCTCTGCCCAGAGCTCCCTCTCAGAGCCTCCTTCAGTAGCCTCCTCTCACAGCGTCCTTTACAGTCTCCTCCCCGAGCAGGACTAAGCAGAGAGCAGGCAGCCCTGGCCATGTGGCCCTGCTGCCTCCACTTTGGGGACAAGAGGTGTCTCAGCTATGTTGGCCTAGAAGCTGTCTAGGGCTACTTTCAGGCTTTTTTTACCCCCAGGGAAGAAACCAAAGGTCGGAAATGAAGCATGTGACCAGTACCAGCTAGAGTCAACCTGTCTCAAGCTGGGCTAGTGCCCAGCTGAACAAACCCTAGATCCTAATTTTATTTTGTTTAATGTGGGATAGGGTCTCTCCATGCTGTCCTGGAAGTCAGTATGTAGACTAGAGAGATCCACCTATGTCTGCCTCCTGAGTGCTGGGTTTAAAGATGTGTACCACTACATACACCCTGGATCCTCTTGACTATTTACATGGAATTGGTAGGAATTCCATGTAATTCCAATGAGAAAACTGTTCAAAGGGGGTCAGACACCTTCCAGGCCACAGCATCTGGGCAGCTCCCCATCTGGCTCCTGCCCTGGCCTGTGTGCTGTGCCGCCCAGATGCTGTATTGATGTGGGTGCCATTAGCATTGCTTGGTAGAGTCTGTGATGCTTCAAGAGGGGGATGTTGGAGAACTAACCCAACCATTGTCCCTACTGGGTCACCTGGGTAGTAGGGCTCAGTGAGACTTAGGGGAAGATGGGATCAGCCCCAGATCAGCAAATAGTCCCCGCCCCTTCTTGCTTCCCAAGCCTTCTTCTAGCTCCCGAGTGAGGTCCCTCACCATTGGGATGGTTCCATTTGGGTGCCATGAGAGCTCTCTGCTTTAGAAGTACTCCTCAAGCAGTGTTCTTGGGTTCCAGGTTCCGAGTGGACAGGCTTTCAGTTCCTGAAGTCTCCTTGGAGAGGCCTCACTGGGGAGAGAGGAGGCCAGCTGCCACAGCCATTGTGATGTCTTCGATGCATAGGCCAGGGGATTTTGTCTCTGCTTCCTGCTGGAGGGGTGCCTGCTCATGGTTCAGCTTGGAGGACCCTTCCATACTCCCTACAGCAGGTTGAAGCTTTGTAAGCTGGGTCAGGAGACCAACTAAGACCCTGAGTAGTGTGAGTCCAGTAGAGGCATCCAACACTATCAGTTCCTTCCAATTCGAATGGAGGTAAGTATGGAACCGGGGCCTAGTGCCACTGGCCTATGATACCAGCACTTAGGAAACTGAGGCAGGAAGGTGGGAAAATTCAAAGACATTCTGGGGGTCTGTACTGAGTCCTTGTCACTAAAAGAAAGAAAGAAAAGAAAAAGAGCTCCCTGTTGTCAGCAATACATCTATAAGCCCAGTGCTCAAGAGGCAGAGACAGGCGATTACTGTAAATCTGAGTTCAAAGCCAAGTGAGGTTGGGTCTATGTAGTGAGTTATAGGCTAGCCTGGGCTACAAAGAAAAATTCTGTCTCAAAACAACAAAAAACAAAAAAACAGGGCTATAACAGTGGCTTTGTTTGTAGAGTGCTTGCCAAGCATGTACAAACCCTGGGATCAGCCCCCAGCACTAATGCTGTATGTGGTGACAGACACCTGTAAACCAGCACCGGAGAGGTGGAGGCAGGGGAATTGGGGGTCCAAGGTCGTAATCAACTACATAGTGAGTTCTCAAAAAAATAAAAATAAAAAGCTAAGTATGGTTACAGTGTCCACACACACACATACATGCAAACTGCGTGTGCCTTCACCTTCATCCAGTCAACCCTCCTACTCATTTGCTCCAGGAAGCTTGGGAATGCCTGCCTCTCTTTACCTCTGGACCTCACCTTGCATCTGTAGAATGGATATAATAATAGTAACCTTGTAGGGGTTTTGGTTATGAGACAGGGCCTTGAACTTGGGATGTAACCTAGGCTGGCCAGGAACTCAATCTTCCTGCCCCAGTTCCTAAGTGCAGAGTTACAGTTGGGAAGCCCTTCTCCCAATAATTCTACATGTTGTCAAGGTGGTGCCATACCTAGCTTTCTCAGTGCTGGGTGTCCACCCCCAGGGCTTTGTGCATGCTAGGCCAGTACTCTATCCACTGAGCCCCATCTCCAGCATAGATAGCTGACCCATGCCTAGCCATCTGTGGACTTAAGCATCCAAAGATTTGTGGAGGGGGTGGTCATGGAATTAGTCCCCACCAGGTGTTCAGAGACAACTGCACAATAAAATGCTGACGAGAGTGCAGTTGAGGTGCAGGTGTGTGCACTGCTCACTGCACATTTATTTCAGTATCTCTGCATACCTGAATATTTTAAATTAATGTACAAAGTAAATGGGCATTTGAAGTTCATGTTGTTAGACAGGGCTCAGACTTGTTATGTCCTTGAAAATAGCCTTAAACTCTCCATCTTCCTGCCTGTGCCTGTGGAGTGCTAGGAACACGGTGTGCATCACCACAACTGGTTTTGTGGTCCAGAGAATGGAACCTGGGGTCTGTGCACACTGGGTGTCTTAGTTTCGTTTTTGCTGCTGTGATAAAACACCCTGACAAAAGCCAGTTAAAGGAGAAAGGGTTTAAGTCCACCATGGCAGAGAAATCAAGGTGGCTGGAAGCAGTGGTCACATCAAATCACAATGAGAAACAGCGATACCTGCCTGATGCTCTGCTCTTTATGTCTACAGTCCAGGATCCTGCCAGGGAATGGTGCCACCCACTGTGGGCAGGTCTTTCCATCCCAATTAAGGTAATCAAGATAAGCCCCCACAGACATATTCAGAGACTTTCTATCAGATGATTCTAGAGCCTGTCACAGTGACGACACTAACCATCCCACCAGGCAAGCCTTTGGCCAAGTGAGCTACACCCCCAGCCCTAAGCCTTTGAGTATTTTATGACAATAAAAAAAATTAAAAATTTAAAGAAATAAATGAGAAAAAATTCCTAAAAATAGGAACAGCAGCAAATAAAACAAGTGGGATGCCAGTTTTATATGACCTTTTCATTTGTTTTATTTTAGACAAAGTCTTGCTGTGGAGACTAGACTTCCCTCAATTTTGTGGCACTCCTCCTGTCTCAGCTTTTGAGTGCTGAGTTACATTTTTGAGTCTACAGCATGATTGGTTGGGTCAAGATGGAGTGCTGTCCCAGGTTAGGCCAACCCAAACTTTCTTTTGTGGGGCTTTGGGAATAAGTCAGGGAGACCATTTAGTTTCTCCTCTTGTTAACCTGGGCATGTAAACCTAGTGGGTGGAAGATGACTGGTAGATGTAAGTTAAATGCGAATGAACGAATGAATGAGATGCATGCCCCCCTCATCACAGTACACCTCATTCTGCCTAGAATCCCCTGGATGTCACCGTCCAAGGTATAGGGTCCTTGTGTCCACTGGACAGAATTAGGGGCTGCCTTCTCTAAGGATCTTGTTTTTGACACAGGGTCTCATATATATCAGGCTGGCCTCAAACTCACTGTATAGCCAAGGATGCCCTTGAACTTTCGATCCTCCTGCCTCCACCCTTCCAAGTGCTGGGAGTCCAGGCAAGTGTCACCACTCTGGGTTTTGTGCAGTCCTGGGGATCTAACCCCAGCTTCATGCCCGAGCTACATCCCTGACACAAGGATTTTGAGGGTCTCATACCGACTACCATAGTTTTGGGTGTTGTGAGCTGAGTATGAACAAAGGGAGGGAGGCAACAAGATGATGCGCCCTAACAATTCTAACCCTCACCACCAGGGGGAAGCACCAGCATGCCATGAGTCAACCCAAGGCTTCCAATTATCTTGGTAATTCCCTCATAGGGTAACTCCCAAGCCAAGGAGTCATCAGGGTGGAGAAACCAGCCCAGCAACATGAGCTGGGACTCAGCCTGCTAGGTGTTCAGGACACAGAGCCTCGGGGGAGAGCCGTGCACAGGCCTGGCTAGGCTCTTTGGGCCTCCTCCTAAGGATCAGCTGTCTTTGGGGCTCAGACCTTCTGGATGACCGGTTGCTTTGTTTTTAGGCAGGTTTCAAGTAGTTCATGCTGGCCTCAAACTTGCTTTGCAGCTGAGGATGACCTTGAACTTGTGATGCTCCTGTGTCTACCTCCTAAGTGCTGGGACTGCGGGGGCCATATGGATCCAGCATTCGAGCTAAGTATTATTGTACTACTGAGCCACATCCCCAGTTCCTGTTGTTTTAACCTCTCTCAAAATAAGGCCTAGACTAGAGGGAGAAGGTGGTTAAAATAGGGGCTGTGCCACGCTCCTAGCTGTGACCCCTGCTGAGCGTCTTCATTTCTGAGCCTCATTTTTATCTCCTGAAAAATGGGTCCATTAATACCTTCTGCCAGGAGTGGCATGAAAATGCAATGACCCTCATATTTGCTTTTAGCTGGATACGTTGTCATGTGCATGTGTTCATACTGTGTGTGTGCCTTTTCACATGTGTGTGCTCACCTGTAAGTGCACATTTTCCTGTTGAGACCCAGGGTTGACACTGGGAGTCTTTCTTGATTCCTCTGGATTTTGTTCATTGATGCAGGGTCTCCTGGTTGGACTAATAACCCACTAATAAGGTTAGTCTGGCTAGTCATCTTGCTCCTGAAACTCCATCTCCTCCTGAGTGCTGGAATTACAGGCAGGCTGTCACGCCACCCTGGCATTTACATGGTGTCTTAGTGACTTTTCCATTGCCATGACAAAATACCATGACCAAAGCAACTTTCTTGTTTGTTTTGAGACAGGTTTCTCTGAGTAGCTCTGGAACTCACTCTGTAGCCCAGGCTGGCCTCGAACTCATAGAGTGCCTCCCGAGTGCTGGGATTAAAGGTGTGCTCCACCATTGCTTGGCTCCAAAGCAACTTTTTTTTTTCCTTTTCTTTTTCTTTTTATGTGTGTTGATGTTTTGCCTGCATGTATGTCTGTGTGAGGTCATCAGATCTCCTGGAACTGGAGTTGCAGACAGCTGTGAGCTGCTATGTGGGTGCTGAGAATTGAACCCAGGTCCTTTGGAAGAATAGTCAGTGCTCTTAACCACTGAGCCATCTCTCTAGCCCCCAAAGCAACTTTTCTTTTTTCCCCTGAGACAGGGTTTCTCTGTGTAGTTTTGGTGCCTGTTCTGGATCTTGCTCGAACTCATAGAGGTCTGCCTGGCTCTGCCTCTCGAATTCTGGGATTAAAGGTGTGTGTCATCACCACCCGGCTCAAAGCAACTTCTTAAAGAAAATGTTTAATTTGGAGCTCATGGGTACAAAGGGTTAGAGTCCGTGACCATCATGGTGAGGAGCATAGCACGCAGGCAGGCAGGCATGGCGCTGGAGCAGTAGCTGAGAGCTCAGATCTTGATCCACAGCACAAGGCAGAGAGAGAAATAACTGGGAATGGTGTGGGCCTTTGAAACCTCAAAGCCTGCCTCCAGTGACACATCTCTTCCAATAGGCCTACACCTTCTAATCCTTCTCAAACAGTTCCACCACCTGGGGACCAAGTATTCAAACCTGATCCTGTGAGGACCATTCTCATTCAAACTACCACCTGGGTTCTGGGGATTTGAACTCTGGTCCTCACTCTTGCTGCTTACCTGGCAAATTCTTTAATCATTGAGCCATCTCTCTAGCCCTTGTTGTTTTATTAACATATGTATAAAGTCACGGCCCACACATGATGTGTATAATGTACTTGGACCATATCCACCCTCCCATGTCTTCTCTCCTTTACCCTCCTGCTGTTCTTCCATTCTTATATGCACACATGTATGTACACATGTTGTTAACGCCATATGTGTGTGTTGGTTTTGTTTTGAAGCAGGGACTCATTCTAGCACAGGCTCACTTTTGGAACTCACTTTATAGCCCAGGCTGGACTTGAACTAATAATCTTGAGCCTCCTACCTCAGCTTCTCAAGTGCTGAGATTGCAGGTGTGAGCCTCCACATATCTGTCTATCTGCCTATCTGTCTGTCTGTCTATCTATCT